GATGATGCCAGTAGGTTTTATCTGCTATTATTCTGTTATTTACAGACTGTAAACAATTTTCCATTGAATGTCTGCATTGCTCCTAGAAGTTCCTCTGCTTCCGACCCCCACCCCACCCCACCCCACCCTGGCACCCACTGTTTCTCCATGTCCCTTCAAAGACCCCAGCCTCCCACTAGGGGTCTTACTCCTCTAGAACCTTCCTCCCACTTCTTTTCTTCTTCCTTTTTAAGCACTTGCATTATGTTAGGGTGGGGGGAATATAATTACAAACAAAAACCCCCAGCCCAGAAAAACCTCTCCACAAAGATAGCAGATAGAAAGACAGTTTCATTTTTTTAAGATGGGATGTTCCCCTTTTTATTTTATTTTATGTTATTTTATTTTAGATTTATTTATTTATTTATTTATTTATTTATTTATTTATTCATTCATTCATTCATTCACTCATGATAGAGAGAGAGAGAGAGAGAGAGAGAGGCAGAGACACAGGAGGAGGGAGAAGCAGGCTCCATGCCGGGAGCCTGATGTGGTACTCAATCCCGGGACTCCAGGATCGCGCCCTGGGCCAAAGGCAGGCACTAAACCACTGAGCCACCCAGGGATCCCCGAAACAGCTTCATTTTTGAAGAAGCATTAAACCAGCATGTGATGTGCCTCCCAGGCAACTCACTATGAGACTGCCAAGACAGAAATCTTACCCTTCCATGTAGTCAAGGAGGTGCAGCCCATGCACCGTGCTCTCAAGATAAGCAGTAACTCTGCCCTCAAGTAAGAGGCTCAGTGGTACCATTTGTCACACACCGTTCGTCCTCACTTTACCTGGTAATGATAACCATAGGTGTTATTACTAGACTTAATTATAAGAAACACAAAGTTCTTGTATCTTTATGATGGGAGGTGGTTTTGCAACCCGGAGCAAGGAGCCCACCTAAGTTAGACTTGCAGCCTCCCACAGAAGCTGGGAAAGAGGGGTGCTGTCTTCTTTGATGTTGACATTTCAAAGTGGCGGATCCCAGGTCCTTGGGAAAGACATTCTTGGATCATAAAGCCCACAAGAGGCATGTTTAGCTCCTCAAAAGATTTACACACATTTCAAAGAGACAGAGAAAGAACTTAAAATGACAAGTTTTTTTCATCATAAATGCTTTCAAACTGGGGAACCGGAGGGAAGTCTTATTTTCAGTAGGGAGAATTCAACCTCTTACGTGAATTTTTTCTTTGTTTCCTTGGGATGACCATTTTGTTTTTCTGCATGCTGCCAAGAAGGGCCAGGGCTTGATTGTGCCTGGCCCTTTGCCGTAGGGAAGTCCTCTGCTGCCACATGAGCACACCAAGGCTGCCCTCGCCCCCTTCTTCTCAGCTCCCAGGCCCTGTTCTCTGCGCCCACAGCCGACTCCCACATTCCCATTACCTCTCCTTGCAGGGCAGTAAAGCTCTTCTCATCCAGTCATCCTCAGGGCCTGTGAGTGAGGGGGATGGGCCCTTATGCTTCAGATCCAGAAAGGCTCATGACTGTTTTCCTAAACATAAGACAATTTCATCCCCTTCCTCTGCCCTGGGCCAGTGTAACTGGAACTGCAGTGGGTGTGGAGGGTATGACGCGGGTGCCCTGCCCCACGGGTATCTGGAGCCAGATTGGGCACAGGGCTGGACACCTTTCTCTTTGTTCCTTGATGACCAACTGGACGTACAGGTACGGCATTGTAAACCATATAACTTCAGACTGTGTAAACACAGGACCTGATTCCAGGGGAGAAATTATATCATCTGTTTTTCCAGTTAGTCACTTGAGGACTCCCGTGCCCCTCCTTGCAGGAGGTCCTTACTCGCTGGTGTGACTGCAGGAACACCATCCTGCAAGATCTGACAAGGTTCTTTCCCAGTGCTGCAGGGACCCCGGCGGGGGCCACCAGTAGTCACATACACCTGGGCTTCCGAACTCTTAGTTTACACAGGCTTGGGCAATGTCCCTAAAAGTGACTCTGGTGTGAGGGGGCTGTGCCTGGGCCGTGTCCAGCTTGAGCCTCTTTTTTGTTTGTTTTTAAGATTTTATTTATTTATTTGAGAGAGAGAGAGAGAGTGCATGAGAAGGAGGAGCAGCAGAGGGAGAGGGAGAAGCAGGCTCCCCGCTGAGCAGAGAGCTTGATGCAAAACTTGATCCCAGGACCCTGGGATCATGACCTGAGCTGAAGGCAGATGCTCAACTGACTGAACCCCCCAGGTGTCCCCAGCTTTAGCTTCTCATTTTAGCTTTTCAAACTGTCAGGCCTTGGTGCTGAGCCTACTCATTTGAGCACCCACTTTAGTCACAGAGGGCCTCTTTTGGGATCCCTGGTGTTCTCTCCTATTGGTAGATCTCTACCAGAACCTTCTCAGTCTCTCCCAGAGGACTTGATTAACATTGAACAAGTACAAAAGAATTCAGACCTCAGTCTCTTCTTCCAGGCAGTGTCTTGGACCCTGTAGGCAAATTTAGCCCCTCCCCCTCCACCACCGGTTCTGCATACCCAGGGAGTCCTGGGGTGGGGTGGGAGACAGCAAGGGTGTGGCAGGGAAGGAAGAGCCTTTGTGGGACCTCAGAAGGGTGCTGGAGAAGGGCCCAGATGGCTTGCTCTCAAGGAGCTGTGTCCGTGCAGAGGGAAAAAAACCTGCCAGGTTTTTGCCCTTTTGTGGTCTCCCTGCCCTCAGTCCTAGCACACATGCCCAAGGTAAGCCCCAAAGGTCCACTCAAGTTTCCGTGCATTCAGAGAATCCTCTTCAATCATGAATACACTGCTAGAACAGTTTGGTTTTGGTTGTTTAAAAATATCTTTGCCGTACCATATACATTCTCGTGCAGCTTGCTTTTCTTAAGTAAGAGGTGTTGCTCATGGAAACTTCTGGAGTTCAGTAGTGATTCCACCACTGCATTCTTTTAAACGGCTGTGTGGTACTCCGTGTTCCTGTGATGAATGCTACGAAGGGCAAATGTGTACTTACATTCTCATGCCCTTGGTGGGTTTATTTCTGTGGATTAGAGTCCAAGAAATAGGGGCAAAGAATAAAAGACCACTAGAATAACAAGACCCACAAAAATAAGAAGAAAATAAAACAAATAAAATGAAAACAATAATGCTGAGCCTTGTGAGTCAGAGGAATACACCAGGGGACACATTTTTTTAATTTTAAAATTTTATTTAAATTCAGTTAATTAACATATAGTATATTTTTGGTTTCAGAGGTAGAAGTCAGTGATTCATCAGTCTTATATGACACCCAGTGCTCATAACATTCCGTGCCCTCCTTCATGCCCATTCCCCCATTACCTCCCCTCCAGCGACCCTGTTTGTTTCCTGTGATTAAGAGTCTCTTATGGTTTGTCTCTCTCTCTGATTTTGTCTTGCTTTATTTTTTCCTCTCTTCCCCTGTGATCCTCTGTTTTATTTCTTAAATTCCACACACTAGTGAAATCATATGGTAATTATCTTTCCCTGATTGACATACTTCGCTCAGCATAGTATCCTCTAGTTCCATCCATGTCATTGCAAATAATAAGATTTCTTTCTTTTTTTTTTTGATGACTGAGTAGTATCGCATTGTATGCATATCCTACATATTCTTTATCCATTTATCTGTTGGTGGATATCGTGGCTCCTCCCACAGTCTGGCTATTGTGGACACGGCTGGTGTGAACACTGGAGTGCAGGTGCCCCTTCGGATCATTACATTTGTATCTTTGGGGTAAATACCCAGTAGTGCAATTCCTGGGTCGCAGGGTAGCTCTATTTTCAACTTAAAAAAAATTTTTTTTTTAAGTTTTCAACTTCTTGATGAACCTCCAATGTGAAAATCAGCAGAGTAGAAACAGTTGTGGTGAATCACTGCATTTAGTCCTGCCATCTGCCGGGCAAGTGCTAGTCAGAGTTCTTCCACGTGGGATTGCTGGGTGAGAGTGTGTAGGAGCCTGGGACATGCTGCTCTTTGTGATGGGATGGAGGCAGGGTGCAGATCAGAGTGTAGTGTATCCAGCCGGGAAGGAGGCCACAAAGGCAACAGAGAGAGGGCCATAGCTGGAGACGGGTGACTGGAAGACAGTGAGAGGGAGATATTGAGGTGTAGGAGAACGGGGGTGTAAGTGATGAGGGAAGACCCTGAGGGGGCAGATAAAATCCAGGAAGGCATGGAGGACCTGAGAATAGATCCTGAGTCCTTAGATGGGGCAGGGCAAGGTTTCGGATATTACAGTGGTTTGTGTCCTTCCCAAGAGCCACATGTGTAAACAGATATATTAAGGTATTAACATTTCAAGTGGTAGGGGCAGAACACAATTAAGAAACCAATGTCTTATGGGTTCTGTAAGGGGGTGATAAAGGAGAGAAAGGTAGAGAAACATGGCTCAGGGCTGTGATTTCCCCAGCAGTACTCACTGCTTGGTTGTTAGACACAAGAAAAATAAAAGGTTGCAATCATCCAGATTGTTAATAAGTGGAACAGGGATCCTGAGACTCTGTCAGGAGGCTGACATGAGCTCCTCCCTGCTCTTATCTCCCCAACATCAGTGGTGGAATAGGTGTGGACACCAGGCTGAATTCTTACGTGTTATCAACTTGCATTTTAAGCAAACATGGTGTCTGGGTAGGCGTCCTAGACCCACTTCCATGAGATTGACATCTCTTAAGCTACTTGGATTTACTTGGTCCAAAGCTGGCTCTTCTCAGCATTACTTTCTTTCTTTTTTCTTAAGATTTTATTTATTTATTTATGAGAAACAGAGAGAGGCAGAGATATAGGCAGAGGGAGAAGCAGGCTCCCTGTGGGGAGCCTGTTGTGGAATTCAATCCCAGGACCCCAGGATCATGCCCTGAGCCAAAGGCCGACTCTCAACCACTGAGCCACCCGGGTTTCCTCTTCTCAGCATTTCTGAAGAGGTTGAGAAGTTAATCCTGGACCCTCTCTCCAGCCCCAACTGCTGCTCTCTGTTTGAGACCCAACATCTGACTCCTGGTTTATCTTTTAAGGACTGAACTAGAGGATCATGCCCACGGCATCTTGCACCTTTCACTCCATCTCGGAGAAACAAAAGGTAGAGGAAAAATGAATGTGAGGTCTACCACAGAGGATACAGCAATTCCAGTCCTTTTTTTGGATCCTTGCCAGCACCCTCTAACCATCCAAAACTGTTTATCTTTTTCTTATTTTTAGTGTTTATCTTGTAATTGTACATTATTAAAATTTCTTACACTGATTTCCAGATAATTTTCATTCTTGCCTGATGGTCTCCATTCCTGTGATGTCAGATGTTCCATGTAACAGACTCGTATTGAAGGTCTGAGAGGGTAAGAGCCAGGGCAGGGACTACGGTGAGGCGAGTAAGTTGGGCACAACATTTAAGGGGGCCCCCAAAACTCAGTAATCAAGATATAAAATATTTCAATGCAATATTTAAAAAAATCAGAATGAATGCAAAGAAAAAAATGTGCTGAACAAGATATCAAAATTTAAAATAAAGCCCAGATTTTGTAAGACTTAATATCAGCCGTCTATATTCTAAACACTTTTTGCAGTCATTCTTTCCACCAGAAAGTTCTCTCTGGCCGACCTGACCTCCAGCGCCCCCCATACCCAAGCCAGAGGTGCCTTGTTGTGGAAAATTCTTACTGTATCTTATTTCTGTTTATTCGCAGGCCCTCTCACCTCCTTTCCCCTCTTCCACCCTCCCTCAGCAATGGCATACTTGAGGAAAGTCCATATTTTTCTTATGGTGCAAAACGACGTATTTCTCATAGTCTTATCTCCTCTTCAGACTCTGCCCTGCCTCCTGACTTTCTGAAATCATGACGGCTCTTCAAGCTGTTTTGTATATAATAGGCCATCTGCTACTTTAGCCACATACATAACTGATTTCTCAAGATTAAATTCTTAGGTACCGTTGTCTTTTCCATGAGTGTCTGTAAATTGAAGAGAGCAAAGACTGACTCTCTTAAGATTCATACATTGCCATCCGCATCCCAAGCAACAATTGGCTGCAGTCAGGGTGTGTGGTGTGTGGTGTGTGTGTGTGTGTGTGTGTGTGTGTGTGTGTTTGATGAGAGTAAGAAAATGAATGTATGCAATTCTACAAGACTCGAGAAGTAGATATCATTACTTCTGTTACATAAATGAGAGCACTAAGGCTCAAAGAGGGGAAGGAATGTCCTCAAAGTCACACATGTAACAAGCAAGTGGAATAGCCCAAGAACAGTCATGGGCTTGACTGATATTCTCCTCACCCATTCTCTCTTTGACTCTTCAGTGTCACCTTCTGCCCTGATCCCTGTAATGAATCCCTTCCCAAAGCTTACTTATAACCTCTTCATTCTTATATCTAGGTGATCAGTGTTGTAAAGTGTTATATCTAGGTGATCAGACTTGTAAAAGTCTCCATTGCTTTGATTAGGGTTGTCTCTGCAGGGTCTCAAGCAAATAATTTTTTGCAGGCCCCCTATCTGTATAAATGATTTGGTTAAACTGTATTGCAGAACTCATGGGTCCACGTTAGATATGGTGATTTATCAGTAAAATATATGGAAAAATGGTTAGTGAGATAGTACTTACATATTTATTTATTGTGCACCCAGTGGCTGGTATGAGCATTTGCTCCAGTGGCTTTCTAAGGAATGCTTATGAGGTACATTTCTTGAGATCTTGCATATTTGAAAATGTCTTTATTCAACTCACACTTGATTGGTAATTTGTCTAGGCCTAGAATCCAGGATGGGAAATGAACTTCCCTCAGAATTTTGAAGGTATTTTTGTTAGTGTAAGGACAGGCTAATTTCAATAACAAAGAAATCTCAAAATACAGCAACTTAAACATCCGATTAATAGTCCATATACTGGGCTCTGTGCTGGGTGTGGAGCCTACTTTAAAAAAAAAAAAAAGTCCACATATTACCTCTTCTAATTTCCAGCTCTTTTTCACTACTAGTTAGAGATTTCCTCAACTTCATCTTCACTTTTTCTATTAAATTAAAAATATTTGTTATTGAATCTTTTCTGTTTTGTTTTTCATTACTTTTAAAAAACACTTTGCTCCACCAAAAACAATGATCCTAGGAGTAAACCTAGCCAAAGAGGTGAAAGACCTGTACTCTGGAAACTATAAAACACTGATGAAAGAAATTAAAGATGACACAGAGAAATGGAAAGGCATTCTATGCTCGTGGATTGGAAGAACAAGTAGTGTTGAAATGTCTCTACTACCCAAAGCAATCTACAGATTTAGTGTAATCCATATCAGAATACCACCAGCATTTTTTGCAGAGCTAGGAAAAACAATCCTAAGATTTGTATGGAGCCACAAAAGACTCTGCATAGCTAAAGCAACCTTGATAAAGAAAAGCAAAACTAGAGGTATCACAATTCCAGACTTCAAGATATACTACAAAGCTATAGTCATCAAAACAGTTTGGTCCTGGCACAAAAATAGACACACAGATAGATGGAGCAGAATAAAAAGCCCAGAAATGGACCCACAAATATATGGTTAACTAATCTTGGACAAAGCAGGAAAGAACATCCAATAGAAAAAAGGCAGTCTTTTCAACAAATTATGTTGGAAAAACATGACAGCAACATGCAGAAGAATGAAACTGGACCACTTTCTTACACCATACATAACAATATATTCAAAATGGATTAAAGACCTAACTGTGGGACATGAAACCATAAAAATTCTAGAAGAGAACACAGGCAGTATTTTTTTTTTAATATTGGCTGTAGCAACTTCTTTCTAGATAGATCTCTTGAGGCAAGGGAAACAAAAGCAAAAATAAGCCATTGGGATTTCATCAAAATAAAAAGCTTCTGCACAGTGAAGGAAACAACAAAACTAAGAGGCAGCCTACATAATGGGAGAAGATATTTACAAGTGGCATATCTGATAAAGGGCTAGTACCCAAAACACATAAAGAGCTTATAAACCTCAACACCAAAATATGAATAATCTAATTAAAAAATAAGGATGAGACATGAATAGACATTTTCCCAAAGAAGAAGTGCAGGTGGCCAACAGACCCACGAAAAGATGCTCAACGTCACTCATCATCAAGGCAATGCAAATTAAAATCACAATGAGATATCCCCTCACACCAGTCAGAATGGCAAAAATCAACAACACAAGGAACAACAGGTGTTGGTGAGGATGTGGAGAAAAAAGGAGCCTTTGTGCACTGTTGGTGGGAATGCACGTGGGTGCAGCCACTGTGGAAAACAGTATGGAGGGTCCTCAAAAAGTTGAAAGTAGAACTACCTTAGGATCCAACAATTGCACTACTAGGTATTTACCCAAAGAATACAAAAACACTGATTTAAATGGGTACATGCATGCTGATGTTTATACAGCATCACTTGCAATAGCAAATTATGGACACAGATGTCTATCGACTGATGAATGGGTGAAGAAGATATGGTATAGATGCAATGGAATATTATTCAGCCATAAAAGAAGGAAGTCTTGTAATGACATGGATGGAGCTAGAGAGTATTATGCTAAGTAAGTCAGAGAAAGACAAATACCACATGATTTCACTCATATGTGGAATTTAAGAAACAAGAAAAGGAACAAACTGATGGTTACCATGGGAGAGGTAAGGGGGAGGATGGGTGAAATAGGTGATGGGGATTCAGGAGTGCACTTGTGATGGATGCCAGATGGTGTATGGAAGAGTCAAATTGTTATAGTGTACACTTGGCACTAATATTACACTGTATGTTAACTGAAATTTAAATAAAAACTTAAAAAAATACCCAACCCTGCTCTTGTTTCAAGGATGTTAAGTCTCCTCTAATATTTCTGAACATGATAATTATAATTGAAATTAATTCATGATAATTAGAGTTGAAAAAACCCTATTCCTGCACTGTTCCTGTGGGGTTTTTTGGTTTTGTTTTTTGTCTGTTTGTTCGTTTTTGGTCCCTTTTTCTCTGTAAATGTCTGGTGATCTTTGGCTTTCTCTTCATATTTAAGACTGAGGCACTTAAAGTGATTGTACCTGTTGTGGGGCTTTCAAAGGAAAGAGCAGAGACCAACCCATTGGTGTGGGACCTTCAGTATCATTATTTGTAGGCATTTCTTAGTAGGATACTTCGTTTCTCCAGAGAGTAACATTCCAGTTTCCTGTTTGGGGTATGTAAGCCATCAGCATTCTTGGCAGCATTTGGAGAAAGAGGACAGGGGTCTCACCTTTTGGCATGTTGACTTTCACTTAGATTTTCTGTTTTCAGTAGGGCACACCCACTTGATGCCCTGAACCCAGATTCCCCTTCCCTATAAGAGGATGAGTTTTTAGTCTTCTTTTGGGGAGAAGGAGAGAGAATTGCCTGAGTGGGATGATAAAAGACTATGGGGGCCATTTGCTTGCTTCTCACTCAGATTTTTTTTTAAATTTTATTTATTTATTTATGATAGTCACAGAGAGAGAGAGAGGCAGAGACACAGGCAGAGGGAGAAGCAGGCTCCATGCACCGGGAGCCCAATGTGGGATTCGATCCCGGGTCTCCAGGATCGCGCCCTGGGCCAAAGGCAGGCGCCAAACCGCTGCGCCACCCAGGGATCCCCTCACTCAGATTTTCAAGCAGTTGTACTCTGCTCGGTCTCGCCTACAGCCCTAACTGCAAGGTTCATTGGTATTCCAGTTCCTGAGGCTTTCTGGGGGATCTGTGTGGACTGGCCCACCCACATCCCTATAGACATTTGACTTTTAACTTTCTCTAGTGTGTAAATTCATGGCCACTTTTCCACCTGCTTTCAGCTTCCAAATTTATAGATGTCATCTCTTATCTACCCTTGCATCATCTCTGTTGGGAGAGTGGTCAAGAAGACATGATCGCAGTTCACCTGAGAGCTGCACTCAGGCATTGGAGGCTCCTCGCCCTGCCTCCCCCCGCCCCCACCCCCGCCCCCAGGCCTGGAATCTGTGCTCTTCCCAGTACTCCCATGGTGGGAACCATTTTCAAGGACACCGAAAACAATGTGTGTGGAGACCATCTGGATGATATGTGTGACTGAGCCCATCTATGGCTTCTTTAGAACTTTTAAGATTGGCAGGAAGGTGTGGAGAGCTGCTCGTCTTGCAGCCACCCCAGACAAGCCTCATAAGTAAGTTCCCTTGCTTATTAAAACTGCCATGTGGCAATCTAGAGTGATTTGACTCTTTCCTTGCCCTCTCTGCACACAAGGCCAGTTTGCAAACCAACAATCTCCAATTCCTTTTGTAATTATG